GTGTTGTGTTGTGTTGTGTTGTGTTGTGTTGTGTTGTGTTGTGTTGTGTTGTGTTGTGTTGTGTTGTGTTGTGTTGTGTTGTGTTGTGTTGTGTTGTGTTGTGTTGTGTTGTGTTGTGTTGTGTTGTGTTGTGTTGTGTTGTGTTGTGTTGTGTTGTGTTGTGTTGTGTTGTGTTGTGTTGTGTTGTGTTGTGTTGTGTTGTGTTGTGTTGTGTGTGCGAGCGTGCGTGCGTGCGTGCGTGCGTGCGTGCGTATGTATATATCACATCTATATAAGAGTGTCCCAGACTTAACGTGATTAACATCTGTTAATAGCAGATTTCTGAGATTATTTCGAGATGAAAATCCCAGTACTAAAATGTCGAAGCTACAATAGTTTTTAAAAGAGAAGGATTTAAAGCTTATCAATCGAATTGTCCGAAATTCATGCACTCAAATACAAACTGTATTAAGGAAATTCTGTATATGTAATTCTGCAAAATTTGCTTCTTATTTTTACTGTATTAAAAAGACCTATTATTATTATATTATCGTCATTGTCATCATCATCGTCATCGTCATCGTCATCGTCATCGTCATCGTCATCGTCATCGTCATCATCATATTTATTATTTCTCATGATAAAATAGAGCAATGTATGACAGGCATAGGCATTCTTTATATCGACAAAATTAAAATTTTGAAATTAACATTTATTTTGTAGTAGTATGTTCCAATATTCTTATTTTTTTTTCTCATAATCTTTTTTATTTCCTTTTCATTTTTATTATCCAATATTTTATATTTTTTCAAATGACATATCAATAATAATAATCTTATCTCACTCTCTAATCGTATAATCTTCAATTCAATTATAATTTGCCGATATAAAAAATGCCTATTTTATCGTGCATTATTTTATTTTATCATGTGAAATAATAAATAAAATGATGATGATGATGATGATAATAATAATAATAATAATAATGATAATTGGTCCTCTTAAATACAGTAAGAATAAGAAACACATATACAGAATTATATATACAGAATTTCCATAATAGAATTTATATTTGATAAATGCACCTTTACTGTCGTGCAATGTGACATATCTGAGCGCGCGAATTTCAGATAATTCGATTGGTAAACTTTAAACCCTTCTCATTTAAAAACTATTGTAGCCTTGACATTTTGGTATTGAAATTTTTGTCTCGAAATGATTTCAGAAACTATTAACAGGTATTATGTTAAGTTCGGGACACCCTGTGTGTGTCCGTGCGTGCGTGTAATTTATATCTATATATATCTGTACTTCTATGTAGGCGCACGCGCGCTCGCATAGTATACATAAATATAGATATAAATTATGCGAGATACGCGCACACACATGATACACACACACACACACACACACACACACGTATGTACGTACCTACAACACGCACGCGCGCGCGTCTTTTGTGTGTGTGTGTGTGTGTGTGTATGTGTGTGTGTGTGTGTGTGTGTGTGTGTGTGTGTGTGTGTGT